TGACAAGGAACTCCCAGTTCGGTGGAACACTGGCTAAGTCCAGGTAGCAAGGGAGTCTTTCGTTGTCTTGATGGTAATGCAGTGAAGTGCTCCCTCCCAGGGTCAGAGCATCGTCCATACTGGACATGCCACTTAGTGTCCGACAAGTACCTGAGCGGATGATGGATCCTGGGCATTGTTCTCTATGTCCCAATTGGTGAAAAGGGAAACATGTTTCCAGAAACAATAGAGGATCATGCATAGAGCTGGGAAAGAACTGGAACCGATGAATGATTTGAGGGTCTTCTCATGGAAGGAAAAAAGTACCAGCTCAGAGGAAGAATTCAGAACCATCTTACACAAGAAAGGTATGAGACAGCAATGGTCAGAGACAGCAGTGGTCAACCTCGAGCAGGATGCGAGGGCCTACTCTGGTGACTGGAGACTTCTCACTGGGGCCTCAGAGGCAGCTGAGGACTCTTCTCACACAGCTAACCGGTGGGGGGCTGGGGGTAGGATCTTTCTTGGAGCAAGGCCTCTGAGATGAGAGGGAGAGCCTCGCCCACCACAAAACTAACATACACCCTGCTTTTCATTCATGTAGAACAATGATAAAAGCAGAGAAACTTGCACTCAGATCTCCAGGGACTCTGAAATTCTACAGAAAAAAAATAACTACCTATAGAATTTGAGAGTCTAAGGAGACATGTTCAGTTCAAGAATGGTTAGAAAATGAAGGAGGATAATCTGGGTAGGAAATGGCTGAATATTTAGAAAAAAACCAAAAGGGTTTGGTTGTCTCAGTCAGTATTCCTTAAACAAAATCCTAAATGTAAATTTCATTGATTCAGGGATTTCCTCAGTATCCAAAAGCCATATTTTATGGATTCACAAAAACCTCAATAAATACCTTTAAACTTTCCATCTCATTTCAGTGACATCAAAATAAATATTAAATATATTCTGAATGTACTAATAACTTCTGAATGAATACTGCCGTGTGGTTCAGTGTCTTCTTTGTACTTTCGTTCATGATGCTTATGACAAAAACTAATGAAAAGGGAACAGAAGTAGACTTAATGGATAAAGGGCATATCCCTGACATGAGTAAAGGAAAAATGATGCACACACATTCAGCTAATAAACACTGTGTAGCTCGAGGGGTGCAAGTCAGAAAGACAATTGGACCAACATCCATCACGAGACTGTATAGGGCAGCCAACTTCAAAAGAATCTATTTCTAGTCAAAAAGACCATAGAAGACCACATTCACATGGCAAGTCTAGCAAATATTTCAGCAAAACAGCTCTGTCATATTAAACTCATGTCATATATTTGAATTTTATCGCTTTGAACATTTTCAATTTGTAAACTTATTTTGGTTCTGTGATTACATGAAAACAAGAAGCACTAGGATTATGAAAAGAAGGACAGATAATCAGAGAAGAAAGAGAAACATAAATCTGCAAAAAAGAATGTCAGAAAGTCGAGGCTAAGCCATGGCTTAGAAAATCTGATGAGCTCCACAAAGAATGTTAGGTTAAGACAGTGTTTAGAGTCAGATGAGAACAAGGATGGGTTTAACTTACTGCTTGATGCAGATGATGGAATGCTAATAGAAGCTCATGAGAAAGCAGAAGCACTCAATTTCTATTTTGCTTCCACCTTTGCTATCAAAGCAAATGATCTCCATGTCGAAAAGAAGAGGAAAACATGAAGCCCAAGATAAGTGAAGAGATCCCGCGGGAGATCAGCAAGCAGCTTTGAATAAATCCAACCCTCCCCAGTCAATTACACTCTGGGTAATGGAAGGCCCTCAGATGGGACTGCGGAAGCGTTGTTGGCAATCCTTGGGGAATCAGGATGTGTCAGAGAGGGTTCCACATTAGAAGCAGAAAAATGTGTTTGATTTTTAAAGGGTATCTCAGTATGTTTTTTATTTGCAATATCAAAGGGGAAAGCTGCATTTAGAAGCTACCAATCAATTTTTAGGCTGGTCCTCTCCCCCTCAAAAGATAAAAAAAAGGAAACAAAACATTTCTAGAATGCAATGTTTTAAAAGAGGGTGTAAGAGAATTAGGACAAAAAAAAATCAATGGTCACTGGGATTTCAGGGACTCCCTAAGAACAATTCCCACTCTCCCACTCCTAACTTTTTGGATAAAAGCAGCAGCACTGAGAGGCAAAGTGAATCTGGACTTCTGCTGAGTTTTTAATAAAATATTTCTTGGTGACTAAGAAACAGGATATAGAAATGGGACTAGATGCTTGTTTTAGTTAAGTGAAATTGCAGAGGCGAACTGCGGTGTTCTCACCCTAACAATCGTGCTGAAATGAGGCAACAGAGGATGATGACATGCCTGGACTTGGAGTCAGGAATCTAAGGCTGAGTATCTGCTTTGCCACCGAATAGCTCAGGGGCTCGGAAATCCAGCCCACTGCACGTTTTTGTGAATCAAGTTTCCCTGGAATACAGTCACACTCATTGGCTCACCGGCTGTCTACAGCAGCTCTTGTGCCTCAGCGGCAGAGCTGAACAGCTGCACAGAGACCACACGGCCCACAAAGCTAAAATATTTCCTGCTGAGCCCTTTACAGAAAAGTTCGTCAACCCCCTGACTAGTCACATAAACTAAGATGTCTCACCACCTCTCTGATACTCCCTGTCACCATCCATATTAATAGAAATTGATAACTACAGCAAATGGTTCAAGAGGTATCTAATGAAATAATGTGTGACAAAGCTCTGTATGCACTGTAAGGTGCTCTACACATATAAGACATGTCTCATTATGATCTCTCTTCCTGTTCAAAGATTAATAGCAGTGCTTTTCACATTAAAGACACGCCGATCTCCGGTACGTAGGAGACTCTCAAAAATACTGGATGGATGGATGGACGGACGGTTGGATGGATAAGTGGATGGATGGATGCATAGATGGATGGATGGACGGATGGATGACAGTAGTAACCATACCCTATTTAGAAGCAACTGTGCGCCAGGGACACATAGTGTTCTAGATACAACTGCCTGTTTTGTCCTTGCAACGGAAATGGGACATAATTTTTCATTTTACAGCTGAATAAAGGAAAAGAGATTTTAACAGTAATAATATCAGGAGCAACAATTAATATTTATAAAGCACTTACTATGTCCTAGCCACCCTGCTAAGTGCTTATTAAATGTTATTTCATTTAATCCTTTCAACCTCTTCATGAACTAAGTGGATTCTTCCAGAACCCCATCATTATACTTGACCAAACAGGAAAATGTGTGTGTGAACACACACAAACACACCTTGATTCTATATTTAGGTTAAAAGACATAAGTCCCATGAAGGCAAGGGGATTTGATTTTCTCACCTCTTGTTCAGCATGTACCAACTTCAAAACTGTGACTGAACATAAAAAGAGCTTGCTGTGAATACACTAAAGACCCATCACTCTCCTCACACAGGCATAATTACAGAGACCATCAGGAGAATCCTCTTTTATTTATTGATCTGATTTATAAAGTTTTCTGGATTTCAACCTTTTTCCTTCGTGTTTCTTTAGATTTATATTCTCTGAAAACTCTAGCTTCATTCCATTTGAAATGTGTTCACTCTACAATTCAGTTGTCATGAGGAAATTAAAAAAAATTTAACAATTAAAGTAGCAGAGATGTGCCTTGCTGACCCTAAAATACTCTTGTAAGATTCTGGTCATCGATATTTCTGCAGAAAATATCTTATTCAAAAATATGCCACTATTATTTCAGATATATACACTTTCCGGATACCATATATTTAAAACATATAATCAAAGAACAGAGGAAAAAGAGAGTGGTTCATCTTAAAAATAAAAATAATCTGCCAAAAGGGGAAAATTGTTGTGTGCACAATTTTTCTGGAAAGTTTAGTTTTTGCAATTTATGATAGTTATTTTAAGTAATAATTACCATTCTGAGGGCTTTCTTTATAAATTTCAATAGTAAGAGAGTAAGGAAAATAAAGTCATAAATGTATTAGAGATTTTTAAAAACAATATTGATGGTTGAAACCTTAAACAAGTATTTTAATCAAATACCAACAACTAAATAAAGATTTGTTTTGATATAACCCCCTTTTCCAGTGCTTATTAAGTTCATATGATACTTTAAAAATTATAATAGTCTAGAAATAAAGCAAAAACAGTAAGGAAGCATTGTTAAACACTTATTATTGATTTAATAAGTCTTTGAAAATTAGAATTTGAAGGGACATTAAGGGTCATATGGGGTGTAAACTGGTTTGATCTTTCTGGAAGACAGTCTGACACTATGCACAAAGTTTCAGAGTGCACACATGACACTTTCACTCAGAATGTAGCACAAGGCAGCTGTAATACAAATATACAATAATGTACGTACATTTATGTTCACCATGGCCTTACTTACATAAAAACATTGAAAATGACATCACCCAAATAGGGATGGGTAAGTCAATTTTAAGACAAGTGGTCTTCAACTCCCATGCGTCTGTTTCAACCTTGAAATAACCTGAGCGTCTATGGAATTCCCTTTCAGTTCTTCCACATGAAATGTGAGCTCCTGTCCCTCTGACCAAGTTCTTCGTATGAACAAAACAGCAGAAACATCAACAACAGAACCCTCCCCAGCCATGGAAGGGCAGCACTCTCTGCCGGGCCCCTGTCCCAAGCTGCCGTGGCTGCCGCCCTGCCCGCCCTGGTATCTCAGAGCCTGAGAAGCTGTCAACACTTACAGCAGCTGTTTTCACTAGCCCGGAGCAGAGGCAACCTCAGGGCGAGTGGAGGAGGGACCCCACAAACCCTGATCTCGGGGCTCCCCCTCCAGGGAGAGGGACTTGACTTATATGTCAGCTGTGGGGTGGTTTTCTAGGTAAGATTTTATTTGAAGACGTTTTCTAAAGCCCAAAAAGGAAATACAAGCTTGAAAACCACTGCTGCAATGCCCAACAGAAAAACAAAGTGCTGATTTTACTCACAGGGCTTGTAGACCTCTAGTCTAAGTAGACACTTAGGACTGAACTCTTATTCAAAACTCTCTGCGCCAGATATGTTTTGGAATTCAGAATAGTTTGTATTTATTAGACAGTTAATAGAGAACTTACACTCTATATTAGGTATCACTCCCAGGAAGGATGCAGGGCGGCAACTCATAGTCAATGATATTGATATTTTTGAAGTGAAATGTATAAATGTTTGCATCAAACAAATTACGTAAAAACTATAGTTTGCTTCACATTTACATTGGGTTTTTCTGCCAACTGAGTTGTGCCAAACTTTGAAAAAAAAGAAAACGTCTGACTTTTAGAACATTCTGGATATTGGGACTGGGGCTAAGGGACAGGGCATCTGTAGGGTGGAGGTGAAACCAGAGGCCATGAGATGCTAGGAGCCAAACCCTGACCTGAAGCCAGCAAGCAGATGTCCAGTTCAGAAGATGGAGTTAAACGAAAGGTTCTATACAAAAGATAGGGATATCTCATCAAAGATGGCAAATTGGAGAGCATATACCCTTTTAGTAGTACATCTACTCCTAGGTCATTCTCTAAAATATGTGTTTAAGAAGGCATTATATATGCTTTAATATCCATACAATGCCATAATAATTTGGTGAAGTAAAAGTATGTCTACCTTGTATTGGGAAGTGGAAAAAGCTGCCAAGAAGTATCTTTCCTGTTATTAAGTAGGTACATGGATAGATGGATAGTAGGTAGACAGATAAATCTCTTACCCATGTGCACATATGGATTCAAAGTGAGGTATCACCTCACACCAGTCAGAATGGCCATCATTAAAAAGTCCACAAACGATAAATGCTGGAGGGGGTGTGGAGAAAAGGGACTCTTCCTACACTGTTGGTGGGGACGTAGTTTGGTACAGCCATTATGGAAAACAGTATGGAGATTCCTCGGCAAACTAAAAATAGACTTAACATATGATCCAGCAATCCCACTCTTGGGCATATATCCGGAGAGAACTCTTATTCGAAAAGATACCTGCACCCCAATGTTCATAGCAGCGCTACATACAATAGCTAAGACATGGAAGCAACCTAAATGCCCATCGACAGATGACTGAATAAAGAAGTTGTGGTATATTTATACGATGGAATACTACTCAGCCAGAAAAAGAATAAAATAATGCCATTTGCAGCAATGGACCTGGAGATCATCATTCAAAGTGAAATAAGCCAGAAAGAGAAAGAAAAACACCATGATATATCACTCATATGTGGAATCTAAAAAAAAAGAAAGAAAAGAAGACTCTAAGGAACTCATCTAAAAAACAGAAATAGACTTGCAGACACAGTAAACAATCTTATGGTTACTGGGGGAAAGGAGATGGGAAGGGATAAATTTGGGAGTTTGAGATTTGCAAATGTTAGTCACATATGAAAATAGATTAAAAAATAAATTTCTTCTGTATAGCACAGGAAAATATATTCAATATCTTGTAATAGCCTTTAATGAGAAAGAATAAGCAAATGAATTATATGTATATATATGCATGACTGGGACATTGTGCTGTACACCAGAAATTGACACATTGTAACTGACTGTACTTCAATTTAAAAAAATACGTGAAATGATAAATACCAAAATGTTAATATAGTGTCTATCCTCAGGGTAGTGTGAATTCAGCTGATTTTTAATTTCTTCTTTATTAAACATTTCTATTATTATTTGAACTTTTAGAGTGAGAAAGTATTATTTTTGTGGGGGAAAAAAAGCTCTTAAACCTTGGTGAAAAATGCAATTATTAACAGTTTATAAAAAGTTTAATCTCTCAGGGTTCAAATGATTCACCAAAGTCACATTGTTAATTTGTAGCAAAATTATATTTTAACTCAAGTCCTTTGGCTCCCAGCCCTGCGTTCTCACCATTTTTCCATGCCACATTTCAAAATGAAGCATGAGGTATGACCCCTATCTTGAGAGCTAATGAATGTGTGGAGGAAATAAGAAATGTAAGTAGGAAGCAATGGCCAATAGTCCAAGATGTGATCTATTTAAGTTACTGCTGCAAATGCTTTAAGAAATGTGTATGTGTATGTTGGGGTGGTTTATAAGCACATGTGAATCTCAAATAAAAGAGAATAACATACCATACATATCACAAATCCCTCTGAATACAGAGGAGTAGAAGCTAAGACATAAGTGCCAGACAAGACTTCCTGGGTAAAAGATGGATATGCTTTGTAAAGGCTTAGATTGGGGAGGACATTTCCACAAAGACATATCCAGGCAGCATGACCCATGATTGGTGGTAGAAATAAGCCTGCATATGCTGGGGAGTAAAGGGGACAGAACTGGACAGGTGGAGTGGAGACAGATCACAGAAGACTTTGAAAGCCAAGGAGAGTGGTTTAGATTCGATGTGGAAAGAAATAGAAGCCATGGACAACTCTCATCAAGAAAACCATGTGGCAAAAATGATTTAACTGACATGTGTCTTCCAGCAGTGTAGGAAGGGCTGGCACGGGGGGACTGGAATCCAGGAGGCCAGCTACAGGGCTATGGAAGAGATGACTGGCCACATAAATTGACAAGGAATTAGAATTGCGGGGTGGCGGGGGCAGTAAATGGCTCAGTCACAAAGATCGCAAGGTTTTGAATGAATGTTTCTGAAAACAGTCATCCCTTGACAGAATCAGATGGTTAAGATGAGGTTCATTATCTTAGCCAGGAAAGCAGAGCAAAGGAAACAGTAAGTGCTCCTGTTCATTAAATTTACACTAATTATTTAGCTTTGTAGCTTTGTGCACTAAGACCAAGAGGCCAGGTTCAAATTTCCAATTTGCAGGACAGTTTTACTCTGTTCTGAATCTTAAACCATGCTCCTTTTATTTCCTGCAGCTTTCACAAATGCGGGGCCAGGATGAAAATGTGGAAGACAAGTAAGTCAATACCAAAGGAAAACAACAATTTAAAAAATTAAGAAAAAAGACCTTAAAATTTGACCACTTGATCAATGTGCTCTCTTTGCATATTAGAACAGGCTCAGATGTGGCTTAAAGAGCATTTGAATGTTTTCTTTCGATTTATTTGTAAAAGAGAAAGAGGAGATTATAACTGTTAAGGATTGGCTAAAATACAAGTCATCGTGTCTTCCCTGCGTCTGCTTAGGGATTCTATATTTTGTTTGGAGTGTTTCTTAACAAATGATTTTATTATCTTCATCCAGTCCACCCCATCAGGGATACCTCGATTGGGTCAGAGTGGCCAGTTTAGCTGAGATCCCACTGCCTCTGAACCTTTAAATAGACAGAGCTTTGAATTTCATCTCAGGGATCAGGTGACATCCAAATCCACTTAACATTTCACTGGTAGGGGGTTTGATGTCATCAGAGACCTTGATGAAATTACAATCCTATTAGTCACGAGGAGGGAAGACAGGAGACCTTAGGTGGCTAATGTTCCATTCATAACAAGAAAGAGACATTTAGCATTTGTAAAGGGCACTGATTTCTGATAGTTCCCCGAAGAATAAGGCTCAAGTGAAGAAATATGACCAGAAAAGGCTTGGGAAAGAAATGATAGAAAAGGCAAGATTGCATTTACCCAAACAACTTAACTCTGTGTACTTTTTACAACTTCGCTTAACTGAAAAGAATTGAGTATTCATGTGATGCGGGCAGGAGGAAGGGCAGTGCAGGACAGGAAGGACATGCCTTGCGATGCAGAGATTCTGTTACTGAGAAATCTGGGAAATTACACTGAGCCCTCGATTGATACCAAGGAGGTGCCTCTAAATATAAAGGGGAAATGGAGGTTACATGCAAAGGGCTTTTAATCTGGGTGATAAATTGCCCGGTTCCATTATGCTTAATGAGTCTCATCAATGCATAGCTAGACTCAAAAAAATAATAAGACCCCCCCCTTTACAGAGCCTACTATAAACAAATTAGAAGAATTCATAATAGAAATCCTATTAATGTGTATGCAATTTCAAGAAGTTAATGAAGTCCATTTTAAAAGTTTGCCTAATGTATTTTTAGCATTTGTCAGAAAATGCCAGATCATCAAAATGGATTCATTCTTAACATTTTTTTTCACCCAACTACGTCCTATGTAAGACTTAAAGGATGATAGTTCTTGGGGTTAACTCTTCTCCAGGGAGAGCCCTGTTTAGAAGTTATGGGATATGACAAAGAAAGTGTTGCAGGTGCTGGAATGCATAAGATGCTTATTGACCTGAAAGTAACAAATGAGATTCATTCAAGTGAATTTGCCAAGTCTCATAATATGCCTCCTAACCAAATGGAGAGCACCGAAAGGCACGATTCCCGGTCATTAGACTGGTAAAACATAAATCTTTTGCTTCTCAGTAGAGTCTCAGGTAGGAAATAAGAAGCCAGATCTGAAAACATCTATCTGTGATTCAAAATAAAAGCGATCATCTCTCATCAGCCATGACCCCTGGGCTTACACAAGAGGAAACATGCTGGTTTTGCATTAATAAGTATTTGTACAACATACCGTCAGTCATGAATTCGGAATTAGCCTCTCACTTCTTGCCACGAGGATTCTTTGAAGCCTTTGTTTTAAAAAGAACTCAATACTCAAGCGTATAATCAAAGCACGCAGGAGCATGAGAGAAAAGGTAGCCCCTGTTTTGTAGTTAAACCCCTGGGCAAGAAGGCACAATCACACATCTGTGCTCAGTTAGATCTCCATGAAAACGAACACCGCGTGCTCCTTAACGCAACGTGAAATAACATAACTCATGGTTTCCGAACGGCACCAAGGTGCACGGAGACTGGCTGCAATGATGTCCGCTCCAGAAGTTAGGAACAGCCCTGTTTATAATATTGCTTGATAATATGCACAGTGTCTGGCACCCAGTAAGCACCCAATAAATATTTCTTCAAATCTGAATGGAAGAGTGAGTTCTTGTATATACAGTCTGCTATGTAAAATTTTTACATCCTCTATTTTACTATAAAAATAATATATGTTCTCATGCACATCTGCTTCAGCCTCTGAATCAGTAAAGACCGAGCGCCAATCTCTCCTTCTCAAACA